TCCAGCGTGTGCAGTCATAACATACAAAGCTAGGGAACTTATCCTACTTGAATTCATGTTGGGTAGATGGGAAGACTCCTTTGCACTATCCAGAGGTTGCAAGAATTATTTGGCATAGAAAGTAGCAAACTTCTGCATTAATCTTCTGTATTTTTGCAGAGTTGATGGGGCCCTGGAGTTACTGGAACTTCAGAATCTCTTTTCTCAACACTTCTTACAAGGGCTGGTGTATACGCCTTGGTACTTTGAATTTTGTGTTGGATGTTACAGGAGTGCCACAAGCAACATGGACCGATGGATGGACCAGGCTACACCACTGTCTGGCCAGCCCAAAATTTTGCCTCAACAACAGGTTCATAAGGAAAGGCTGGCAGATACGCTAGTCCACATGACTGATGCTAGTCAGCTGACTGACACAAAGGAATATGTGCCTCCAGGCACCGCATACCTGATTCATCAGCTGTTACACACTTCACATGTTCCCAGAGGCCATGCTTTCCTAGGGGTTTGTCCATGTAAATTTCACATTCAGTTTTGGGATGCAAGAGTCCTCCTTCTCCAAATGGTTTCCTTTCTCCAGTGCCTGGGGCAACCCAGCCTATAGAGGTTTTAGAAACGTAGCTTTTGCAATGCATGCTGTGATTATTGGATGACAGGTGGTAAGGTAATAATACATCATTGCTGTAAGTCTCTTGGTCTCTATGCCAGCATCCAACCATGGTAAAAAGTTTGGGGAAGGGGATTTCTCACCGAGCATCAGAGAGTGCAGCAGGAGTAACTAGGCACAGATACACATGCTGATACATTTTGACAGGCCCCCAGTAGGTAACTAATACTGGCCCCTGCTCAAGACAATCAATGGTCACAGCCCTGGGCTTCAACAGGACAAAAATCTACTGACAGGTTGGGCTGGGAGGAATAAGCCAGTTCCTTTGCAAACCCTATCAGGGTAAGCAGTGATTCTCTTCTTTGAGGAGGTGCCAGATTTTGTTTCCACACGTGTAAACTCTTCATTGCAGAAGGAGGGACACCTGGTCAGGAAAAAGGCTATCTAGTAAAAGGTCTTGTTTCACTATAAGGAAACCTTAGACTTCACTGCCAGCTATTGCAAATTTACTAGTAGCTGATTAGAGCTGATTTATTGTATCTAGTGTGTTATTCCACAAGAAAATACCTTTGCAGACAGAGCAAATCTGACAATTATACAGATACCAAATATGAAAAATCATTTATGTTTTCCATGTGTTTGCATTTTCAGATTTTGTTTCCAGATTTTTTAATTTATGCTGCTGTTATAAAGCTCTGGAAATTACTTTTGGGGGATAGAAATATTTTATTTTTGACAAAAAAATATAATTTAAAAATGCTATGGATTTTATTTTCTTCAGAAAAATGAAAATTGGAAAGGAAAAGGAAATTGGAAGCTCAGAGGCAGAAATTTTTTAAAAATGGGTAAATTTAAAACTAAATATATCATACACACAGAGGCCTGTTCTTGCCTCATTCTATAGGAAGGTGGACAACTAACCACTTTTTGTTCTAATGCACTGCAAGTCAAATTGGAAGGGCTGGTCCTGCAGCACTCACTCAGAGCATGAATTATGCACCTATATGTATAGATCTGTATGCAGAGACCTGCCAGTATGGGCAAGTCCAAAAGCAACAGTCCCAATGTGTCCTGTCTGCAGCAAGTCCCAGATAGCTGGGAGCATGTCTGATTAATGACCTTGGTGATATTGGGTTTCTCTGCACAAGCACAAGTGATCTTCCGCAGAGATCCCCAAAACACAGGTCAAGACGTATGGCAGTGGGTTACCATTAAGAGTAATATTTTTCTGCCAGGATCAGGGAAGCTGACACATTTGTAGTATACTTCTCTGGCTAGTAGTGTTCCAGCAAAAGAAAAGGAGATATGTGTTTCACCCTGCCAGCTGGACAGTTTAGAGCTGCTTAGCACCTCTGAGACTGGCACTTGCACAGGGCACAGGGCACCTGCATTGGTCTTCGTGGATTTACATGGGATATTTGAATGGAAAGTAGCTGGATATAGGAGGACATTTGGTGAAACAAAAAAACTTACAGCTGAAATACCTGTGTGAGGCCAAATATAACTACTCATTAAAACCATCAGTAATCAATAGCTACTCGTTAAATCAAAAAATGCTCAATATTCAAATTTGATTTCAAGAGCTGGGTGGTAACGTCCTTTCCTACTTTTTAAAAACAAATTTGAAAGGTTGTTCCGAACCAGAAAATTTTGAAAAGCAGTGTTTCACTTGAAAAAGTGTCAAAACAAAAAGTTTGGGTGGCATTATTTTTTAATCTTTAATAATTTGGTTATTTCAGCACAAACCTGCAAAATACTGTGATTGAGTCATAATGTAAGTTTTCAAGGCCAAGAACTATTTAGGTTGAAAATACTTTGCTGAGCTCTGTTTCTGCCTCTTAAGAGAAGCCCGCAGCTGTTTCATCGTGAATTATCCATGGAGCACTGACTCCCTCCTTTACCATGCCTAATCAGCCCCAAATTTGCCTTAACCCATTAGCTTTGTTTGCTCTGTTGTCTGTCTCTGCTTTATCTTGGGGAGGAATAAAGGTGACAGCCCAGAACCAAACAGGGTGGAGATTGTCCTCTTCAATTGCCTGCAAAGCAACTCACCAGGTGGTTCTCCCCTCTAATCAGGGTCTGTAATGTCCCTAAAACACAAGGAAAGATTTTTTTTACATCTCCCTTGTGAAAGGAAAACTCTTATATAGGAACTTTTTTTTCCCCATGTCCACAGGTAGAAGCGCCTTTGAGGCTAATTCTTTCTTTTATATAGCTTTCTTCTCTCCTAGCCATTAAGGAAAAGAAATACACAGGCCAAACCAACAAAAAAAAAATATCTCTGCTTGGCTGAGATGACAAACCACAATATTCAGATATAAACTGTTGAAGGAGTCAGAGGGTGGCTTTCCACTAGCTTGCTGGCAAACATAAATAAATGATAAAAGAATTATTCAGTAAATCTGTTTGGAGATTAACAAGCAGGAGAAAAACAGGGGCAGCTTGTGAACTGTTCACTAATCCTAAAAGGGGCTGAAGCTCTCAGGAATGAGGGCAAGTCTCATGGAAGCAGGTAGTTTATGTAATACTCCTCTTCTAGACCTGCAATTACTTACAACTCACAGCTTGCATTACAGAAGAGTAAATGTTTAGCCTTCATGGCCACAGAGAACAGTTTAACAAGAGAATGTTAAACCTCAAAGACCAGAAGGCAAATAAAAAATACCCCTGCATTTGTCTTTTGAAACAAAACAAAGAAAGCCTAGCAGTTTTTAAGCTAGACTTAGTAGTGTTCATTCTTTCTGCTGCATGCATTTTCTATAGCTCAGGCCTGTCAGGTCAACTCTACACCTCAGCCACATTTGTAGAAAACCACAGGGTTAAGACAGTTGTATGCAATTGGATGCAACCCTGCTTCTTCACATGGTGGAACAGGTATGCATGGGATTGGTTCATGCACAGTGCACCTCTCCTGTGGGGAAGGGCAGTGACATCCCATTCCCAGCATCTCCTCACATTTTCTGCAGAGGCACTTATGACGGGTTTAGGTGACATTTCTGAGACCTGAATTCAAGATCTCATCTAGGTCAGAACTGCTGCTGAAGAGAGTCCTGCCTTTTGTCCTCCAGGGTGCCTAAGTATCATGCAGCCAAGCATCTCCAGAAGTAGCCCATGACTAGTAAATGCAGATGTCCTTGGAAAAAAACATCTCTATTAGAGGCAGTTAGAAACTGCCTTTTACATAATAACCTGTGCTACAGCTGCTAGATGGGAAAGTGCTGTTTGGTTCTGGGCTGGAGGCAAGCTGAGGCATCCAGCAGGAGCTGAGTGGCAAGGCTGAGCATCAAGAAGACTGAGGCCCTGTGGTGGTCTGTGGGAAATTTTGTGAAAAACAAAATTTTGTCAGGTTTACATCAAAATGGCCTCAGGAAAGCCTCAGTGCTTGGATGAAAATGTAAAACAGTGGTGGAGGGTTAATAATTTCCTTTCCCTGGAGAGGAGAAGCCTAGCTCTAGCAACGAAGGTCTTGGTGCAGCATGGACGTGCTGTTGGAAGCAGCACCCAGCTGGTGGTCTGCTCCTCTGCCCAGTGAAAGCTCAGCCCATCCAGTGGTCCAGGGGCTGGTGGGCAGCTGGCATGGGGGTTTGCTGCCACCAGTAAAGCAGACGTGTTCCTGGGACCTTCCCACTTGTCAGAGGGATTTTTCACTGAATCCGTATCCCCACCTCAGCTATGCGAGTCCACATCTCACATAAAATCTACAGCTGATTTTATTTTCCCAAGATTTTTAGGTCAAAAAAACTTTTTATGTTTGTCCTTAGGCCAAAAAAACTTTTTTATGCTCCTACATGCAAAGGCCTGGAACCTTCATTCTTACCCCAATATAAAATAATACCTAAGGATGTGAATGACTTTAAACGTCATGACCCTTGGAAATTTGAGGAAGAAGTTCACTCAACAACAAAGGAACCAATATTCCTTAAAAAAGCTGCATTCCCAGAGTTCTCATGGCATCAGACTGCCTGGAAATTGAATTCACATGTCCCTAATTATTTAACAGGAATTCTTAAAATTCCCACAGGATAAGTCATTTGAAACAACCCACAGAGCTATTTTGCCTGTTTCCTGGGGCAAATTTATGTCATAGTTTGGTTAGTTACAATGTTATCAGCTGCCTCAGAAAAACAGTCTATGCTAATACAACCATTACCTAATTCATGCCTGGAGTCTGATCCTCAGATATTTCTAAGCCTTTTAGTGATCCCTTGAATTGCCTCTTTATAACTTTAAACACAGGGACATTTACTGAGGTAGCTACCATAGTAAGTAAACAGGAAGGTTTATAAGAACAGCCATTTTTGTTTGGCACCCTACCATCTACGCAACTGCAGACTTGTGTATAAACACACATGGCTACTTTTTCCCCGCTAGACATGAAAACAAAAATTCCCCAATGGACTTCAAGGACATGCTGGGATATGTGAATGTGGAGGAGGCGAAGGTGTTGGTGGAGCCTGATATCATTGGCATCCAGAGGAGACAGAGGCAGCAAATACTTTCCATGCTTTTCATTATTTATTCTGGTATTATAGCCCTTAGGAAGGCCAACAGGTGGGTACCCTGTCCTACCAAAGGTGGTCTGAGCTCTGGGTCACTTTCTGCTCCTGACTTTGTACGTAGCCTTGGGGGGAGGCCATTTCAATCTTCTGTGCCTCAGCTTCCTACTCTTTCTGTAAAGTCCTTACACATGGCCTTAGGAGCTGCAGAGGACAAGAGCTGCTGCCAGTGGTTTCCTCTTGAGCAGCAACAGGGTCTCACATATGTCTGCTGTGGCCCCAGGGGAGCACTGAGGCACAGCAGGAGCGAGTCAGGAGCAAGATGGTGTCAGAGACCACCAAACCAGCCAAATTTATGTCTGCTCTGTGTGTGCTCTGTCTGGTGGAGAGGACCTTGATGTGGTCTGGCTGTATTTTCTACTTCCAGGGGTGCCCTTGACACCCAAGGCTGGTGTCCCTGTACTCCAGCAGGAACTGGAACATGCCTCTTCTCTGGCATGCCATGTGGCAATGCCTCCAGTGACAGGCATGTGCCTTTCACATTAAAAGTGCCAGAGCAAGCACTGGCACTTTAAAACCAGAAAAAAAGCTTCCCCAGATTTGTGGCTGCCATGAGCAGATGATGTTGATAACATTTGGTGCCCCGAAGGCCAAGTTGATGTACTTCACTCACAGGCCCTCTCTGAAGGAAGGGCCCTCAGGGAAAACATCACTTTCCAACTTGGAGAATCCCATCTATGGGCTCTGAAGCCCTTCATGACCAAGGAATAGGGTCGGCCATTTTTCAGGCACCTCCCATAGTTTGCATGCTGATTGGTGTTGACCAATGAACAGTGGGATCTTGCTGCTGCAGCTCCCCTCTCCCCTTCCCCTCTTGTTTACATCTCCTCTTTGTTGCCATGTCTTCATTTTGGCAGGAGTAACCCTGGGACAGGGACTGCAGTCGTACATGTTCATACAAAGTGTGAGCATGCTTTTCAAGATAGTGAAGTATGCGACAAAAGAAGTGGGTGGAAATAAATACTACTTATTGGTTATTTACACATGGCAAATAGAATAGACCAGACAAGGAAATTTTACTGTGCATGTGCGCTTGGTCTGTTTCCTGTTCTTAGTTTGGAGATAGATCACTAACTGAGTTCAAACTTTGCTTGAAAACTTTTAAATCTCTGTGAGACCTAAAAATTGATGCACGTAGAAGTTAGGAGCACAAAATCACTGCAGAATCCCTCTGTAGTTCCTGGAGGCACCGCACAAGTGTTCTTTGACCGCAGGCAGGCTGAACTGTCCTTTGGGAGTACACCCCTCACTCCATGAGTGCTTGGGTTGGACGTCCACAGCAGGAGTGTTGGGCCAGGAGGGAGTTTTTACTTACCAGTTGCGAAATCCCAGAGCAGCAATGCTAACTCAGCCTAAACTTTAAATGAAAATTAAAACAAATCCCCTTTGGGATGAGATGGAAATGTCAGCCCAAGGAGGAATCTGTTCTCAGTAAGTTGCGAGCGACCGAAGGAGATACAAGTTGGAATCCAGCCTTGGCTGCACCACACACCATCTGTCAGCCTTGCAGAGCAAAATAAAGGGAAAGCAGAAAGCGTGCAATTATCCTCTCCCTCGCTGGAGAGCCCAGAGGCCAGAAAAGTGGCTTCTCTTCCCTGACACATTTCTTGAGGCGGAAGTGACACATTCATTTTCCCACACTGGTGATGCCCTGCATTGCTCTCTCGTCCTACTCGCTCTCCCCTTGGCAAGCAGGGATGCAGACTGCCAGGCTGGTACCTGAGTGAGAAGGCTCTGTTCCCATGGTTGGAGACATGAGTTTAGCAAATTGCAGGAGAAGAACAAGAGAGAGCAGGGGACGCTTACGTCTCTCCACCAGGCGCTGTGCTGGCAAGATGCGGGGGCTTGCTCCTGCCCCTACAGGCGCCCAAGCACCTCTGGGACTGAGCACTTTCAGTCAGGCAAGAGCTCTTCTCTCTCCTTCTCCCCCCTGCCCTTGCACATTTTCGTAACCTTGCAAAAGTTTCAGACAACGTCATCTTTAACCTACTGCAGGCTGGGCTTGGGAGCCACGTGAGGGGCAGTGAGGGGGGACCGTACTTGATCAGCACACCAGCCCCATGGCCAATGAGTGGGGAGCTGAACTACACTCCCCTACCCGCCACCCCAAAAGGGGTGCAGGAATGTCTCTCCCCTGGCATTGCATTTTGAAAGATGTGTCTGGCGAGACAGCTAGCTGACTTTGGCAGGCACTACCAGCAGCAGGATAATTAATTAAAGCACAGTTGAGAAAATTGTAGCGCAAGCTTACTCCGCAGCCCCATCCACAGCTCACTAGCAGAGCAGGGCATCCTGCCCTAGCCCATATCCCTTTGTTTGAAGGAGTAGGCAGCTTGCATTTTGCACTGAAAATAAGAAAGCAGGACGAAGAGGGATGAATCCTTGTGCTAATCAGTGAGAGAGGACCTTGTCTGCAAGATAAGGCGACCTGGGAACAGAACAGCAAGTCATACCACAGCAATAGAAAAATAAGCAAGGCAAGACAGCTAAAGGCTATTTTACATAAGGAGGATCCCTCCTCCTGTTGCCTGTGTGGCACTGAAGACTGAAGGAACCTCTCTGCAAAACAGAAAAGTGAGCAGGAGGAACAGGTACCCGTCTATAGCAGTCAGAGCTGCAGCTGCTGCACAGCTCCCCATATTTGTATGCCTTCAGCTGATCTCTTCCAGGTACCAACCACAGTGGAGTTGCACGGATTGTGTTCCTAAATGGACATTCAAGTAGTTCCTGCTGTCAGCTTTCCCACTGGCGCACATTTAGGGAGGTTCAAGATAACCATGACCTGCAACTCTAGCTCTGCCCTGCCTGCATGTCTGCCTGTCACTGGGCTGCCCCTGCCCCTACGGACAGGTACGTGCACCCCACGCTCACTGCCAGTGTGGAAAGTCAGGCAATACTGTGCCACAAAAAGGGCTTGGCTATCACTGCTGGTGGGACAGGCTTGCCACAGGTCACCCTCAAGCCCCTGGATGGCTTGATGCTGTGTTGCTCCTTACTCAGAGCATGTCAAAGATGCTCAGCCCAGGACGAGAGGACCTGCACTGCACGTTGCAGCTGTTGCTGTAGCCCAATTAGTCATTACGAACACAGGCAGGGAAGAGTCTTTTTTTTTCTTTCCAAACCAGGGTTTCATTAAAAATGCCTGGTTTTCACAAAAAGAGATTTTAAAAAATAACTTTGAACAAAAAGTAGGGGAAAAGGAATCCTTTCTTGTTTGTTTGAACTTACTAGCACAGAAATCACCTGGAAGCTCACTCTGACTTTTTGGATTTAATTTCACTTTTTGTCTTCTGGGGAAGAAGAGAAAATCTGAATATTTACAGGAAGAAAAAAAGACTTCTCACTTACTTGCATTTCCTAGTCAGAAGGAGAGCAGAACATGGTTTTTGCTTGTTTCTAAGCAGATACTTTTGTTGGATGACCTCTCATTGTCAGCTATCAAATCTTTTATATGAATAGAATTAAAGCAGCACATGAATGTTCAAAGTTACTGTTAATCTCTCTCTCTCTGTGTCTTCCCCTCCTCCCCTTTTGCCCTGTGTTTCAAGGTCTCTTTGGAGTATTGCTGTGGAAATGAAATTTTGGGGTTGATTCTCCTCTTGCTTGCTGTTGTGTGTGGCCAGTGAATTTGTTCAGGGTTTAGCATAGCTGCACCACACAAGCCAATGCTGCCCATGTTGTGTTGGAGTCACTTGTGGGCTTGTTTTGACTTTAACCTTCCACATGGTCTGTGGCTGCAAGTACCAGCCTAGTTATGCAACTCCTGTCTCCATTCCTCCAGACTTCCCCCTCCTCCTTGTTAGAAATAATGTATTTTAGCTCTCGCTCTATTACCTTCCACCCACTTTGGAATCCCCAAGTACTATAAATCTGGCTCTGTTTTACAGATGGAGCTTTGCTTTCCCCTATAGGATTATGTATTTTACAGAGGAAGCAAAACTCAAATCTAGTTAATGATTGACTGACGCACACTGAGTTGATGCCATGAAGCTTCTTCGCCATCCGATCATGATTATCTGCAAGGGAAAGAAAGTTTTTAAATGTTGGTAAATGTGCTGTGTCAGACTGGTGCAACTACACATAGTTAGCGTTCAGGGACACATTCTGCCTTCATGAAGTCCCATCTATTTCAGATTATTTTGCAGCTGGATTACAACAGATTTAGGCAACTTGTTCAAAATCTAATAAACCAGAATTATCCTTCCCCCCCCCCCACCCCCCCTAACCCCACAAAAACCCCCCCTCGTCTTTCATCACTTGAAAGTTTTCTTTTGCTGATTTGTTTTTAATTTTCCTTCTTTGTTATAAGTGGACACTCTGCATAAATATTCCAGATTATGTCTTAAAATGAGGAATGGTCATAAGAAGGAATAAAAAATTATGCAAAAGAGCATTTTCAGTGTAACAAATAAGATTTTATTCTGAGTAGTTTGTAAATCTGCTGCTGGTCCTTGCTATTGACAGGTTTCACAATCTGTATTGGGAATGAACTGCAGTTTGATTACACCCTGTGGATGTGCAGAGGTTAGTGGGGGCCAGCAGTCCTCCCAGGGTTGGCCTGCCAAGCACTGCCACTGCTCTTTTCTACCTGCTTAATCTGAATCTATCACCAGTTAAAACTACACAAGTTGTCTTCCCACAGTCATTGCAACATAAGTTTTTGCTGCAGTAGCCATGGATGTAGCTGTGCAAAACAGGAGGCTTCATGCTCTGTTTTGGTCTGACTAGCTTGGTAGCATCAGGTATGATCAAGGTGGCCTGACAGTCTCCATTACAGCAGCTTGCTTTAAATTGTTTGTTCTTTTAGTTTGCCAAATGTTGCCTGTAGGGACTGGAATTTTCTAGGAAGGATGTTTGAACCTAGACAGAGTCAGGCTGATTTCTAGGGGGGAAATGACACTATAGATCAAGAGAAAATGCATTGTTTAGTCCACACTTGGGAAAAACAAAAGACATGAGAAAATTCTCGCTATTGTTTTGATGAGAGGGTCTCAA